AGGGATAGAAGGAAGAGGAGGGAGGAATGGAAAGAAGGAAGGGTAGAAAGAACAATGAAAAGAGACACAGATTGACAAAGAAAATGACAGTATGGGGAAAGACGGGTAGAGAGAAAAACAAACAATATAAATTAAGAGAGTATTTAGAAACAAAAACGTCAAAGTAGGGATCAAACAACAAACACTCACTGCTGGAAGGCCTTCACCTTTGTCTCCTTTAGACTGCTGGAGGAAAAAGGAAAAACATCCCACTATCAGAAGTGACTGAAGAAACTGACAGGAGTCTCAAAGAATCTCTTTTTTGAGACTTAGCTGACACTTTTGGCTTTACATTATTAGAGTCTGGTAACATTTTTGGACAGAAGCTGCCATTACGTGCTGATGTTCAATAACTAATTTTGATCATTTCCAAGTCCGTAAACAATCTGTAATCCGAAGGGGGGAAAAAAGTGTTTTGCCAAAATTTTGTCTTGGCAAAACACTTTGTTGTGACTCATTGAAGGAAGAATTTACCCAGAACCGAAGCTCTTGCCATCATATACTCGCACTCAGTCAGTCATAGTATAGTTACATAAACATAATATAGTTAAGGTGGTATAGTACATCACAAAACAAGAACATGAAGTAATGTAGTGTATACTTTGCAGCCACCAACTATCAGAACATCATTATGCTCATACAATGTACTAAACCACCCCCCGAAAAACAGATCATCTTATACAGAGCATCTTTGGTGCAGCCGTTAACCACTAACAGATAAACAATAATGATATGCTTAACATCAGATTTTGAAAGTTATCATTACAACTCATCACACAGTGAAGTACTTTTCAACTTAGAAATAGCCACATGGACACTGAAACAAAAGCTTTTTGGTGACCAGCAATGTTGTACACCTTGAACATATAACTGCAATGTCACAGTGAAGAGAATATCCCATCATTTCTGTTATTGATATTTCAACATGTTTGTGTGTGGCACAAGAGAATGACGTGACTTTAACAAGTATTTGGTTCAAGAGCGATGAGGTCAGTATTAGAAGGTTTTGGACTTTTTGCTTATGAACTTGGTTGTAATCAAAGAAAATCCTCTAAAATCTACATTTTGATATTTGAGAAGACGCAAGATCAGAACGCCATTTCCCTGTTAAAGGATCTCTATACGATATTCAGAGCATTAATATAGCAGCAAACGACTATTTGCTATGTAAAGATATAGAGGAGCAGAGTGGGTTGTAATCAGAGCTTCCCCGTGTTTGGTTTACATAGAGCGCTGGCAGCGCGTGCCTTTTTAATGCATGTTAGTATATGTGAGCTTTCCCCAAAGGCTTGCTCAAAGCCGCCGTTCTGCACTGTGGTTTCCACTAGTGGTGTACCGGATCACGGATCGATCCGTCAGTGAACAGATATAAAGCAGTAGTGTGTTCACGTGAACGGAGTTAGAAGCATTTAACGGTGAAAGCCTAAAGTCATGGCGAGCGGAGGAACTTCAGAAAGGAGTCATTTAAGTCGCAAGTTTGGGAGCATTTTGTCTTCCCTGTAACTTATAATGACGGATAAGGGTGGTGGACAAAAGCGTTACGCGTGTAGGCGTTGTTTAAAGAGAAAGACATACGACAACGGCAACACATCAGACATGTCAACACATATGAAGCGCCACCACCCCGGTCTGTCAGCGACAGGGGAGACTCCGGTGTGGAAAACAAAGGATTTAAAATCTGGTTAAAGAGCTTGAGCCACGCTACGAAATCCCCTCACACACCCTCTTCAGTATGAAGATCGTTCCTCTATGAAGAGGAAAAGACTGACCGCTCACTTCATCATGGAGGAGTGGGAGATTTAAAGTCCAGTGCTGCAGACACGCCCCCTCTGTGAGAGTCACACAGACACATCTGGCGCTACCCTTTCCCCACACAATGTAGAAATTCTCATCTTTTTGAAAAATATCTTAAATATTGTGGTTTTCATTGAAGACTATAGCCCTAAGTTCTTTGCTTTCAGTGTTCTTGAAGTTCTTTAATTAATAAATGGTCACAAACCGTGACTCAAAAACCACGGTACGATCCAAACCGTGAGGTTTGTGATCCATTGCACCCCTAACATCATCCCGACCGACGGCGTCGTCATGGAAACATTGCACCCTGCCATCGAATCCCCCTAAGGTAAACACTGTCAACTCTGTCAGCACTACTGCATTTGTTGGCACCGTTAGGTGAAGCCGCCAGCTCAACTGTCCCTATGTTGAGAGCCATGTGAAGGCAATCCCTCAATCATAGATATGCTCAGAGTTTTGTATTGAGCACCTTAAAACAACCGACAGAAAGTCATTCAGTCAGTTAGGGCGATGGAAAAAAACCTAAACAATCACCTGGGGATTCAAGTTCAAAGTTGAGTAAACAGGGCCACTGAACAACATCAGCTCCTTTAACATCGTTTTTGACATTGAAGAAGTGGAAACTGATGTGTCCAATAACGCACTGATAAGACTTACAATCTTAGTAAACAGAATACATTCATAAAAGCCCTGAAAACCAATTATTTAAAGTTAAACTGACAAACTGTAACAAATGTGTCCAGGCTACACATTGTCCGTTATGATAAGCCATGAGAAAAATCATTTTGAAAGTATGGAAAAAGGAAAACAGTACAGAAACCAATCTGAGCTGAAGAAAAACAAAACTAAAATGAAAACAGATAAGTCAGAGAAGAGGCACTACTCTTGTATGAACTATGAACATTCTTAAACAGGAAATCATCTTGTCAGCAACAAGATCATTTAAACAGTAACATTTACAACAAGAGTTGTGTCCGTTCTCTTCAAAAGGTGGAATGAAAAAAGGGGTGTGGTGCACTTGACAGACGGGTGGATGTACTCAGAGTAGGCGGCACCTCTCACCAGTCTCGAGCTGATTGGCTGAGAAGGCAGAGGGGCCGCCACCAATAGAAGTGACGCTGAGGAGGAAGAGCAGGAAGGAAGAGGAGGAGGGAAGAAACCACAGCGGACCACCTCCCCATCCTGCTGGGTGCCCACAGGACCCCCTAAGGTAGCAGAGGGCCCGGGGCCCAGTCTGAGAACCAGGGGGCCATGGGGACGGATGAGCTGCTGGTGGCCGGCAGCCAACGATTCATCGCTGCCTGATGACTGACGGAGTTTAATCAAACTCAAACAGAACGGAAATAAAGCAAACAAAAACAAAATAATAATAATGAAGACAGGAGACACACAATACCCATTAGCGTTGACACACTGCAACCAAGTGTGTGTGAACGGCGGGTTAATAGACTGAGTGCAAGAGAGAGCGCAAGTGTTTGCAAAGACACTGACGTCTGTGTGCACAGTGGATGACATATACATACAAGAAGTAAACCCTGAGACAGTGCGTGTGTGTGTGTGTGTGTGTGTGTGTGTGTGTGTGTGTGTGTGTGTGTGTGTGTGTGTGTTGATGAGAGTTTGTGTACCTCAGGGTCAGTAATCCCTTGGACACACTTTGGACACTCCCAGCAACTAGGTAGGTCTTTATTCACCACTCCTTCACCCTGAACCTGCAGAAGCAGACATATTATTAGTGAAACGGATGAACTGAAGGTAGAAGAAGTAATCAATGAAAATGTTTAAATAAACAACACTAGAACCCTGTGTATACCTAGCTACAGAGCTTTTATCTAGATGGTGACAGAGAGGGCACTCATATTTAATATCTGTGTAATATGACCCATACATGCTGTATGTGCTACAGTATTAGAGGTGTGGAAATGTCTTGATTCTAAGATGCATCGTGATGCAGACGTGAATGATTCTGCATCGATGCAGCCACGGATCATTACTAGGAAGCTGGTTTAATTTCTGTGTGTGTGTTTACTGCGTTTAGCTGTCATCTACTGAGCTGTTACGCATTCCTGGGCCCTGTACTACAAAGCGAGTTCCAACATACCAAGGGTATCTTTTTGCAGACAACTTTTTTTGCTCCATAGTGGGAATTTTTGAGGGCACAGTACAGCACATAAATGTTACACTCGGAATTAGCAGTAAATATAGTGTACTGTGTAGTAAACCAGGAGCGTGTACCGTGAGGCAGGCAGGATGGACTATCTGCGCACAGTTAGAACATTCCATCAGAGTGAGGGAGGAGTCTCCGGTTTCTTCCTGATTGGGCTCCTTGCAGATCTCACATACTGCAGACAGAGGAAGGCCCGGCTAGAGGAGATGGAGAGGAAAATTATGAAACATATCCAATATAAATAAACAAACTATAAAAAGTTACCTACAGAGAGACACTGTCGGAGCACACAGGTCTGCTTGAGTTTCCCTGGTCCTCCAAACTTCTTCATGTCTCTGCAGAAGTTACAGTCTCCACACTCTGGTCTCATACAAGCTTCACAGCGCTTACACCTGCAGAGAAGGAAATCATCACAGTAAATGGATGATCACTGAAGACAGCTGAATCATACACTTGCACAATTACATTATAAAAGGTTTAAAATGGTAGAACATTGTCTCCAAAGAACTGGTGTTTGCTGGGCTTAATTGAGAAGGCCTACTACAAACAACTGAAAACCAGTTAGTGTGACCAAAACAACTTTCCGGCCAATCTGTTTTATTTGAAATGAGAAAATGCGTTTCTCACACATGCTGCGTTACCTGACTCTGCGCCGTCTCAGAACTGACATGGAGGAGGCTGGTTTCTGTGGTCGTGGGATGATGGGAGCGGAGGAGAACTTAGGACGAGGAGGAGGTGGTGGTGGAGGAGGAGGCTGATACCATGAGGGCTGGTGGAGAGGAGCATAAAATTTAAGAGGGGACAACAGCTGAGGTAACGAGGAAAAATAGAAAAAAATACAGTCGCCAGCATTTGTTATGGACACTGGGTCCCAAATATTTACAATATTGTATAAATGATGAAGTGGCATTTTCACACCAGTATTGATTGAGAAATGTCATTTTTCATATGGTATTTGCTAATATACATGAGGGGACTCATGAGGAACAGTCAATTGAAGCAAAATTATAAAACATATTTTAATTATTATCATTCTGAACAATTAGCAAACATTTGACAAATCAGGATACTCATAAACACTTCTTCCAAGTATTACTTACAGTCAGGGCCACAAGTATTTGGACTGTGACACAATTTTTCAAATTTTGCCTCTTTACACGACTCCAATGTATTTGAAATGAAGCAGTGGTTGAATTTAGACATTCAGCTTTAATTCAATGGATAAACCAAAAGTATTACATGAATCGTTATGGAATTACGACCATTTTTATACAGACATCCAAAGTGGATGATCGCAAAATTCTTTCCTTGGTGAAGAAAACCCCTTCATAACATCTACTGAAGTCAAGAACACTCTGGAGGAGGTAGGCATGCAATTGTAAAAGTCTACAAACAAGAGACCTTCATGAATCTAAATACAGAGGGTTTATAACAAGGTGCAAACCACTGGTGTTAAAGAAGCCCAGTCCTGTTCTGTAAGCTCCTGAGGTGTCTTTCCTCTGGAGTGACCTGGTTGACGCGCTCGTTGTACGTCTAGATTACCTCTGATGTGCGTTGCATTAGGTACATCATCACAGGCAAGTTTGTTTAATGATATATAGTTTGTTTATTTTCTTTGTTGTGGAACAACGTATAAAAGGTCCAATTCTTTCCACCGACAGTAAATGCACCAGTTGCATTGACACATCACAATAGCGTATAGCGGTCAAAACCCTTTGCCCTTCCGGGGTCAAACACCTGACAACCACAGTGAGCTCAAGACCTATATACCTGGGCCCAGGACATTAATACAGCGCCACCCAACGTATACACAGAGAAATGCAGTTGTATTTACAACACCATATTTGGCTCTAACAACTGGTAACACTGAAGAACAGGAAGGCCGATTAGACTTTGCCAGAAAACATCTGGCAAAGCCTGACCAGTTTGGGAACAAGATTCTTTGGACAGCTGAAACCAAGATTAACTTGTGAGAAAAGTGTGGAGAAGGAAAGGAACGGCTCATGATCCGAAGCATTCTCCATCATCTGTCTCTTAATGCAACAAAACTGATTGAACGGCGCCTCACAGTGCAGATGGATTATGACCTAAAACATACTGTGAACACAACACAAGTGCTTCTCAGGGCAAAGGAATGGAATATTCTTCAATGGCCAAGTCAGTCACCTGATCTCAACCCAAGTGAGCAGGCTTTTCACTGACTGAATATAAAACTGAAGGCAGAAAGACCCACTAACAGCAGCAGCTGAAGGGGGCTGCAATAAATATATTCACAATTATGTTAGTTTGTCCAATTACTTTTGAGCCTCTGAAAATGTGGGGGACTGTCTAAAAATGGCTGTAATTCCTAAATGTTTATTGTGATATTTTTGTTATATCCATTGATTTAAAGCTGAAAGTCGTTACCTTAACCACATATTAACTGATTCAGTTCAAATCCACTGGAGTCGTGTAAAGAGGCAAAATTAGAAAAAATAATACTTCTAGTCCTGACTGTAATTTAAACCCTGAGAAATAGACTTATTTATTACTATTATTTATTTATTACTATTATTCTGTATGGTTAGAGACTTATTTATTACTATTATTCTGTGACTTATTTATTACTATTATTCTGTAAAGATAGTCAGTCATCCAGCACTAATGTGCTGTGTGTCTAAAAGTGAAGACTGCTTACTCTCTTTGGCCACTTGACAATGGGTTTTCCTGTGTAGGACAGTTTGGGATTGTCATTGGCATGTTCCTTCAGTAGAGCCTGCAGGGCAGAATAGACAAAAGTGGTGGGAGAGAAAGCATTGGACAGGACAAACACTGTCAACAGGACAGCAATAATATCAGTAGTTTCAGTTTTTATTCATCCCACCAGCAAAATAACTGATGCACGCAAAGGCCAGTCATACCTTGATGTGTGTGATGAGTGCCGGGGCATTGTGTATGCCTGCTGGGACACACTTCTTGTTGGTGGGCAGAGCCTCCAGTTTACCCAGCAGGTTCCACATTCCCTCCAGCTCAAGGGGAGTCAAATGAACTTTTACTGCAGGCTTATCAGACTGCTGCTGCTGCTGCTCCTGCTCCTCCTCCTCCTCCTCCTCCTCCTCTTCTTCACTGTCACCCTCCTCCTCCTCCTTCACCTGCTCACTAGCTGTATCTGAGCCAGACGGCTTCTTCAGACCTGAGAGAAGGAATGAGACACACATTCTATTTACAACCAATCTACACAGAAAAACCCCTTCATGAAAACCCTTCATACGTACATCTACCCCTCCCGTTTGCCTGTGTTCATACCAATGCCCAGCGTGTGCTTCTGAAATTCTGGTGTGAGGTAGGAGATCTTTGTCATGCTGAAGACGTAGCGCTCCAACACATACCAGCACATCTCGTAGTAGAAGGGGTAACGAAACTTCAAAGGAACCTGCGGTTGAGGTGAAAGAGGCATTTTACCATTACGCAATCCGCCACTTCCTGTCATTTACACCTTACAAGATAGCTTGTTTTCCCTACCCGCGTTCTGTCTTCTATATTACAGATGTTAAGTTGCATGGGGATGTTGAAGCTGTGCAGGAAGTTTCCCCCAAACACCATAGAGTCCGTGGGGGTGTAGACTGCATGAATCCAACCTGAGTATAATACATTTTATTTATAGAGTGCTTTTCAAGATACTCAAAGACACTTTACAAACAAAATCTTCATAAAAAGCTACACACTAAAAACATTCATCACACATTAAAAGCAGTTCAAAAAAGGTGAGTTGTGATTTGAACATGGAAAGATCAGTGCAGTCTCAGATGTGTTTGGGGAGAGAGTTCCAGAGGGAGGGGGCAGCTATGGAGAAGGCTCTGCCGCCCCACGTCCGGTGCTTGGTCCTGAGTGGAAGAGACAGGAGGTTGGCATCAGAGGAGCGGAGCCGACAGGATGGAGTGTGGTGGTGGAGCAGGTCGGTGAGGTAGGAGGGGGCCTGATTGTGGAGGGCTTTATGAGTGAGGAGATGGACTTTGTATTGGATCCATTGTGGGACGGGGAGCCAGTGGAGATTCTGGGGAACAGGGGTGATGTGATCACGGGAGCAGGTGAGCAGCAGAGTTCTGGATATACTAGAGTTTATTTAGGATTTTGGATGATGTGCCATGAAGAATACTGTTGCAGTAGTCGATTCTGGAAGAGCTGAAGGTGTGGATCAATGTTTCAGGAGCAGATAAGGAGAGTGATGGGCGGAGACAGGCGATGTTTTTTTAAGTGGAAAAAGGCAGTTCTGGTGATTTGTTTGACGTGGTGTTCAAAGGAGAGGTTGCTTTCAAACATGACTCCGAGGTTGCGGATGTGTGGGGAGAGAGACAGAGTGGAGTTGTCGATGGTGAGGCAGACGTCGTGACTGGTTTTAGTGAGAGATTTGGGACCGATGATGATCATGTCAGATTTATCACAGTTGAGTTTGAGGAAGTTGGTTTGCATCCATGATTTAATGTCAGTGAGGCAGTTGGTCAGAGTGGAGTGAGTAGCAGTGGTAATGGCTTTTGTGGAAATGTAGAGCTGGACATCATCGGCACAGCATTAGAAGTGGAGACCATGTTGACGTACGATATTACCAAGAGGGAGCAAGTAGAGGATGAACAGAAGATGAGGTGGGCTTTGAGTTATGCAGCGACAACGCGTTCCAGTATTTTTGACAGAAAGGGAAGATTGGAGATGGGCTGGAAGTTGCTCATGGTGTCAGGGTCAAGTCCAGGTTTGTTGAGGATGAGGATGACATAGGGCTGGGCGGTATACCGGTTCAATCGGTATACCGGTTTCAATTTCCCGTACGATATGAATTTTTCATATACCGTCATACCGGTCGGTGCACAGCCGAAACAACTTCTGTTGCTCTTCAACAGGCAGCAAAATATATTGTTCGCCGCTAGGAGTGCTACGGACGGAGCTAGTTGTCTTACCTGTATTGAGTGGGAACCCTAGTCATGGTTTACTTTATAACGACAATTATTATAACAACAATTAACAACCCACAACTAATGCTCTTTAACAGGGCAAAACACCACGACTCAACAGTTTGTGACAGATAAACAATTTGTAGCACTAATAATTGTACATTTATAAAATTTCTCTGCCGAACTGCATGCTGGGTAAAGCTCGCTAACAGTCTGCTAACAGCTGTGAGAGGCTCTGTCGCGGCAGTAACGTTACATTAAAGAACAGAAAAGAGCGATGCAGGATGAACAAAGCCTGAACAATAAAAGGTATTTAGGTCAGACACATATGCAACGCTGATTACCATATGTGTGGTATTTGTTATAAATGTATATAGACGGTGATAAGAAGCTGTACATGTAGCGGCTTCTTCTTCTTCTTTAAATTCCATTGGAGGATGACAACCAACTTGCATAGTGCATACCGCCACCTACTCTGAGTGAGTGAGAGAGTGAGAGAGAGAGTGAGAGAGTGAGAGAGAGAGAACTAAAGAGATATTGAGGTTGAGGCTGGAGAGTTGAGGTATTGCGAGACCAGTGGAGCAGACCAAATCCAGGATGTGACCTCGGCAGTGAGTGGGGAAGATGATATGTTGTGTGACGTTGTTGAAGCATTGTAACAGTTCCAGGAATTCTGTGGCAGATTTACAGTCAGTGTTATCAATGTGTATGTTAAAATCACCTATGAGGAAAAGGGAAGGTGAGACGGCACATAGCTAGGTCAGAAAATCAGAAAAGTCAGAGAGAAAGGAGGGTTTTGGCTTGGGGAGGCGCTAGATAACAGCAGTTACCAAAAGAGTGGGACCAGAGAGTTTGAAGGCAAGATGTTCAAAAGAATGAGCGGCAGGAATGGGAATGGTGGTTGTTTTAATGTCCTTCCTGTAAACAGCAGCAACACTACCTCCCAGTATAACACACAATAATATTCAATTTTTGTCACATCGCGAAAAAATATAGTGAGTGTGTGAGAGAGAATTAGAAGTATACCTGAAGGTATGATGAAGGTGCAGCCCTGCTTCAGCTCAATCCTCTGGCAGTCAGATGCTCTGTCTCCAAGGAAAATGTCTCCCTGTTTCCCCGACAGCACCCAGTTCTCATAGAGCTCCAGGTTCTGAGGGGTGGGGGGGATCAGCCAGAACACCTGAAAACACACAATTGCAATTCAAAACACACCACATGTAAACATGTGAGGTCACTTTCTAGTTGTTTATAGAGTAAAACAGAAATGATATAAGTCCTGTTGGGGACTTTACAATTTATTCAACATAATTAGTTCGACAACACATAAGAAGATCATTGATGTTTTTAGTTAAAAATCCACCCTTTTAATGACCCTGAATCAGAAACTATGAGGCCATTGGCTGAACCCCCTCTGGCCCCACCTTGCCTCCTCGGAGTATGTGGTACCACACAGAGGTCCCTCCAAAGTCAATGTGAAAGTCTGTGTAGCAGCCCTCGACACTCATCAGACAGTATCTGCAGAGACACGCAAACATCGGCAATTTATCGAACGTCATCAAAATAAAAAGTAATTTTTGCTCTCTTAAAGACTTGACTTTTAAAGAGAAGTGAACATGGAGGACTTACTTCTGAACTTTAGGGTATTGCATGTCAGTGATGGAGTTGGTTGAGTCTCTCTGTCTCTCTTTCAGGTGACGAGGCCACATGTTGTCCACCCAGTCTATTAGATCTACCTACAGACACAAATACAAGACAGACACCATAGATTAGACAGACAAACAGACTCTTAATTTACTGCAACTCTGAGGAAACAGACAACATACTACCATTTTGAGAGTTTCACTGTAGCTGCTGAAATGCTTTTGTTTGCATGGGATTTGTATAATACACACAAGCATGAGCCTTTCGTTAAGTGTGTGTACGTACCGTGGCAGGTCTCTGGACCAGGTTCTCCAGCTTAGTGTGGCTGAACTCCAGGCTGATGACATTATAGAGCTTCTCTCTCTGAGACTGAGGCGTCTCGTAGTAACGTGTCCACTGGGCCATGGACATCTCTGTCCCCTTCTGAGTGCTCACATCCATCACATCTATCATACGTCTGCTGCCTGAGCAGGGTTTTTTGGCAATAGTTAGTCACAGCATAACAAAAGAAATATGGTCAAAACAGCAGCTGAATACAGGATACAGTTGCAAGACCAATTAAATGCCTAAAGTAAACAAATATTTGGGTGTAAAACACAAAGAACATTACATCAAAAGCATTGTTTTAACTCTCTTCTAATTAAAAAGGTGGACATGAGCTAGTACACATTGGAATTACAGGTATTTTAGCCTAATTAATACTTTTTTCTTTTAAATAAACATTTGTGTGGTATTTTTCTTGCCTTACTTTTAAGTGGGACACATGTGTTAATTAAAAGGCAGAATAAGTAGGATTTCCCTAAAAAACAACGTACAGAAGACTCATGCAAAATATTCCCTCTCAATAATCACTATGTCCTTATGCATCTGCAGAGATCGCCCCCGTGTGTAAAAGAGGCATACACAGCGGCAAAAAAAATAAATAAAAATAAATAAATCAAAATTCAAAGCAGACAGAGCTCGTTCCAACAAGAGAGTGAATCTGGGGTTGGCTTTCCCCACTGGCGAGCACCCTCACCCTAACCACGGTCAGGGGGCGTGGTTTCTGGTGTCATTGAGGGGAGGAGGGGCCAACTTTGTGCGGGATCATGGGAGTTGTTGTCTTCGCTATCACTGCAGTCAATAGACATTTTAAAGCGAAAAAGTTACATATTATACCTTTCAGTGAATTGTTGACTGACAAAGACAATCTCGATGATCGATGCATACTTTAGTAATTTATCAAGTAAAAATATAAAACATCAGCTGACTCCGGATTCTTGAATGTGCGATGTAGTTAATATCATATAATTGTAAATTAAACACCTCATGGTGTTTGACGATTAGTAAAAAAAAGAAGTAATTTTAATCATTTTAAATATTTCATTGACTTAATTATTTCTCAAGAAATTATTCTATAAAATAATTGAAATTTGAATTCTCATTGGTTTCACTCTTTCTGCTGTTGGGGGCTGACCATGTGGTCTGAACAAAGGAATTGGGCCTACAGGCCCTTCAGAGCAGTCTGCAGCCTGATCTGAGGCCATGTCCACATTACTCCGTTTCCATTTGAAAATGCATATGTTTCGCTACTGAGCGTCCACACTACGCCGGAGTTTTAGAGCACCGTAAATGGATAAGTTTGAAAATGCTCCCTAGGTCGGATAAGTTTGAAAACTCCGGGGTTGCATTTTCGTGTGGACGGCCGAAACCGGATACGATTAGAAACGATGACGCCCACACCCGCGTTCTCGTTTGGTTCTTAGCAGTCATGACGTATCCTTCCTTGATTCGTCACATGTCTATCACGTGACCCTTACACCCAGAAGCTCACTAACTACAACATTGAATACCGATCGACTACCAGGTTAATTTAACTTGGTCAACTGATTACAGGCGATGCCGACCTTGTTGTCTTTACTAGAATCAGAATCGGAATCAGAACCATTTATTGCCAAGGAAGTTTGCACCTACAAGGAATTTGTCGTGGCGGTTGGTGCGTAACATTTAACAATAAACAATAACATTAAACTATCAGCAATCAACACAGTGCGAGAAATAGAAACATATTAAATTTACAATAAAATATAAAATAAAGTGCACAACAAAACAGATAACAGGACTGTAAAACAAGTGAAGTGTAAGTGAAATGTTAAAAGTGACGAGAGTGTTTAAATAAAGAAACAGGGATGTGCAGGGGAGAACCCAGAAGGAAATGTCCTGGGGATGACAGTCAGTGGGGGACCTGGGCTTTGTTAATGAGCCCGACTGCGGACGGGAAGAAACTGTTTGTGTGGCGTGAGGTCTTGGTTCTGATGGACCGCAGCCTCCTGCCAGATGGAAGGGGCACAAACCGATCATGTCCAGGGTGAGAGGGGTCGGCTACAATCTTTCGTGCTCGCTTCAGGGTCCTTGAAGCGAACAGGTCCTGGAGGGACGGCAGATTGCAACCAATCACCCCCTCAGCAGAGCGAATGATGCGCTGCAGTCTGCCCTTGTCCTTGGCAGTGGCTGCAGCGTACCAGACCGTGATGGAGGAGCAGAGGATGGACTCAATGATGGCTGTGTAGAAATGCACCATCATTGACTTTGGCAGGATGAATTTCTTCAGCTGCCTCAGGAAGTACATCCTCTGCTGAGCCTTCTTGGTGATGGAGCTGATGTTCAGCTCCCACTTGAGGTCCTGGGATATGATGGAGCCCAGGAAGCGGAAGGACTCCACCATGTCGACGGGGGAGTCACACACAGTGATAGGGGCTGGTGGGGCTGCGTTCTTCCTGAAATCCACAACCATCTCCACTGTCTTTAGAGCGTTGAGCTCCAAGTTATTCAGACCGCACCAGGTCACCAGATGGCCAGTCTCCCACCTGTAGGCGGACTCATCCCCACCAGAGATGAGTCCAATGAGGGTGGTGTCATCCGCGAACTTCAGGAGGTTGACGGACTGGTGAGTGAAGGTGCAGCTGTTGGTGTACAGGGAGAACAGCAGAGGGGAAAGAACGCAGCCTTGGGGGGAACCGGTGCTGATGGTCCTGGAGGCTGAGACGTGCTTTCCCTGCTTCACGTGCTGTCTGTGATCCACTTGCAGGTGGAGTCGGGCACCTGCAGCTGGGAGAGCTTGCTATGCAGCAGAGACGAGATGATGGTGTTGAAAGCAGAGTTGAAGTCCACAAACAGGATCCTGGCGTAGGTTCCTGGGGAGTCCAGATGCTGGAGGATGAAGTGAAGGGCCATGTTGACTGCGTCATCTACAGATCTGTTGGCTCTGTAGGCGAACTGCAGGGGGTCCAGGAGTGGGTCGGTGAGGGTTTTTAGGTGGGGGAGCTGGTGGTCTGGGGCTGGTTGATGGGGCTGTGGGGGATGAGTCAGGACTGTCCCATTGTCTTTCGAATCTGCAGTAGAACTCATTCAGCTCGTCTGCCAGGCGGAGGTCGTTCATGGAGTGGGGGGGTTTTGGCTTGTAGTTGGTAATCTGTCTGAGACCTCTCCAGACAGAAGCAGAGTCATTGGCTGAGAGCTGATGTTGCAGTTTCTCAGAGTACAGTCGTTTAGCATCTCTCACCGCCTTGCTAAACCTGTACTTTGACTCTTTGTACAAGTCCTTGTCCCCACTCCTAAAAGCCTGATCTTTCTGCAGCCTTAGCTTTCTGAGTTCTGCTGTGAACCAGGGTTTGTCGTTGTTGTAACTCACCCTGGTGCTTGATGGAACACAGCCGTCCTCACAGAAGCTGATATATGAAGTCACAGCCTCTGTGTACTCATCCAGACTGTTGGTAGCCGTCCTGAAAACATCCCAGTCTGTACAGTCCAAACACGCTCGAAGGTCCTCCATAGCTTCACTGGTCCACTTCTTGAATTTCCTCACCACAGGTTTGCAGAGCTCTAATTTCTGCCTGTAAGCAGGAATCAGATGGACCATGACGTGGTCAGAGAGTCCCAGTGCAGCACGAGGGACGGCGTGATAGGCCCTGCTGATTGTGGTGTAGCAGTGGTCTAGAATGTTCTCCTCTCTGGTAGGGCATTTAATGAACTGTCTGTATTTGGGTAGTTCATGGCTGAGGTTTCCTTTGTTAAAGTCCCCAAGGACAATAACTAGAGAGTCCGGGTAGGTCCGCTCCACACACCTTATCTGATCGGCGAGTGTCCGCTGTGCCTCCTGCACGTTACCCTGCGGCGGCATGTAAACACCGATCAGAATGAATGAAGCGAACTCACGGGGGGAGTAAAATGGTTTACAGTTTACAATGAAGGATTCCAGATCAGGAGAACAGTGCTGTAGAATCACTGACACATCGTTGCACCAGCCACTGTTGGTGTAAAAACAGATTCCTCCACCCTTCGATTTGCCAGAGAGCTCCGTGTGGCGGTCCGCTCTGAACAGCTGGAAGCCAGCCAGCTGGAGCACGGAGTCCGGTATGGATCCACAGAGCCAGGTCTCAGTGAAGCACAAAACGGAGGATGTAGAAAAGTCTCTGTCTTTCCCCACCAGCAGCTGAAGTTCGTCCAGTTTGTTGCACAGTGAGCAGACGTTTGAGAGAAATATGCCCGGCAGCGGTGTGCGAAATCCACGTGTGCGAAGACGCACAAGCACGCCGGCCCGCTTCCCTCTCCTCCGTCGTCTCGCTGCACGGGCTAAGGTGAGCGCACCTTTGACGAGAATGTCCAGTACTTCCACAGAAGTTAAAAGAAAAGTTGGAAGTAAGTCCGCTGGAGTTGTTCCCCTGATGTTTACGAGCTCATCTCTGGTAAAAGAGCTCCGGGTATCGCAGCAGAAAACAGTATTTACAACAAAAACAACACAAAACGACACTACCCCTCCATTTTGATAGCTCGATCTATCTTCAATGTGTAGTCCCACGTGGCGTAGCCATGGTTTAGATTACATCTGCCATTGTCTGAGCTGTTTTCTCCCCACACACACACACACACACACACACACACACTTTTAGATAGTATGCTCATAAATGTATAGTATTTGTTGTTAGTTTTAGATATTATTTGACCAATATTATTATAATTTAATAAACTCTGTTATACTTTAAAGAGCAGCGTTCTGTGATTCCTTTGTGCATGTGTATTGTGATAATAGCTGGATATGTGGCCTGTGCTTGAATTCAAACCTTCACTCTGTATTTTGACTATTCACATTGTGAATGAATAATAATTATGAGACTTAGTTTATAGTTGGGTTATTGGTCCCTGTTCTCAGGGTGGGGCCCCGTTATTATTAATGTTCCTGACACTAATAATGCTATTGATGTCAATAATTTAGTTTTTCATATTTGCTAATAACTCAAACACGCTCCTTTTCGTTCCCAACACTACTCACATGGATGTTAATATTCAATGACATGTTGACAGGAAACACAGTTGTTGCCAGGAAGACTTGTAGCTGCATTTGATTAAGGATGAAATAAATCTTACCAACAAACATCTTGACGTCATTGACACTGAAGTCAGGATCAGGCATCCTACAGAACAACATGAGGTTACTCAACATATGTTAATAAAAGACTTGATAACAAAAGTAGATGTAGAGAATAAAAGAAGAAAGAGAAAAAGAAAGCGGGTACCTACTTGATTCCCAGTCCATCAGGCTTCTCAAAGATAATTGGGTCCGTCAGGCCGCCTCTCTGGATGAACTCACACGTTAAGTCTAGGAAATAGAAAGAAAAAAAAAAAAAATCACAACAACATGTCAAGAGAAATATTTGAAGACCTTTTCATCCAGTTTATTTTGAGTTTTCTATCATTCACTGCTGGTCGTTTCCCTTTACAAGATTCCTGATTCTTGGCTGACAAGTGGTAGTTGCGACAGACCACCCGACATGATAAAACTGTTACGGTGACCTGTTTCTCAGCCTTCAGAAGGCAAGATGCAGTGACGTCAAACAGTCTTAAAGTAGATTTAAGATTGTCATTTAAATAAATATCTGTTTATACACTATCCATCACATCAGGAGGCAACACAATGGTGAAAGTATTGCAATATTTATATTTTTGCAGTATTACGAATTGGATATCTGTGGCAACAGTGTTATTATGAAGTAGTCACAGGAAATGCAACGTGTTTGTCAGTGAGCTTGACACTGACTGCTCAGCAAAAAATGGTTTACAATATATGAAGGAATCAGAATGCATGAAACAGTTGCAGAATGTGTTGCTGGATTGATTTGTCATGCTATGTTGTCATATAAATATACGTGACTGGTTCATGAGAGTTTGTTCTTGTCGTTGTGTTAATTACATTGATTTTGACTATATGCATTGTCCGTTAATGACACAGCATCCCATCATGAGCGGGGTTAGGGTCGGACATTTTATTCTGTTTGAGGTTTTGTTTTCTTTTACAAAGCAAGAATTATGGTCTGGAGAAATGGGGATTGTGTGGCGATGGCTTTAGCCCTGTTTGAATCAGTAGGTAACAGCTGCTTAAACGCTGCGGGGAGAGTTTGTAGCGCGAGTGCTGCTGTTGGATTTCCTGCTAAGCTAGTTTAGCAGAACACATGCGCCGTACCAGAGTACAATGTTGTGGCTCCGGGGTGGACGTGTCAGACAGGCATGTTGCCAGGTTAAGCGCAGTGGCTCCACCGAAAACATTAGATTTTCCACAATTTAAGCTTCTGCATTTTCCAAATGCACTAGTATTATTCAAATGTATTGTTCGGTTAGTAAGCCTCGTACCAAACAGTTTAATATGAATATGTGTATTGTTACACCTGTAGAAACAAATAATAACCGTAGCTCTGGCATCATAATGAGGTTATTAGGAGGTGGTTCAACTGTAGTAGGACAGCACTGAAGGCCCAGGTATAAAATGCCACTGCCCTAACGTTCTATTGCACAAGTAAGAAACAAGCCTAATATTAATTCACATTATCCTTTAAGCCAAGGTATTCAAGAATTAAAATGTCTGTTGTTCAGTTACAATTCCCTTGATTCTCCATTTAACAAAAAACAA